GCACCAGCACCAGCACCCGCAGCAGCACGCCCCAAGAAAACGTCGATCCAGCACCAGCACCCGCACCAGCACCCCCGAACAAAACGGCGATTTAGCACTAGCACCTGCACCAGCGCGCCTAAACATGGATAGTCCGGGCCGGTCCGGGCGGGCCGGGCCACCTGACGCAGTGGGCAAAGGACGAATCTATGCGATCTAGGCGTATACACAAACACGTTATAGAGGATGGATCGGAGTTTTGATTAAACCCTTTTTGGTCGAGTAAGGGCCAAACCCTTGGATTTGGGGTTTGGGATCAAGATGTAAACTCCTCCACAGATCCCCCTCACTCGATCACAAAGGGTTTGCATCCTGATCCAAGCCCCAAACCCAAGGATATGAATATCAATCGACCAGAAGGGGTTTCACCAAAACTAAGCCCAAATACAGCTCCGTAGACCGACAACAGCAGAAAGGGGTCTATTCATACAGACTAAACACACCTTGCCAATCCCTCCTCTAACATGTTTGTGGATACGTCTAGATCGCATAGATTCGTCCTTTGCCAACTGCGTCAGCTGGCCTCCTGACGGCCGTGCCGGGGAAGGGAGTTCGCCTGGGCCGGGCCTTGGGCCGGGCCGGGGTCAACGGTAGACCCGGCTATCCATGCTAAAGCAAACGCCGATCCAGCACCCAGCACCAGCACCTGCACCTGCACCAGCATGCCCCAACAAAACACCGATCCAGCATTACGCAACGCGGATCCAGAGCCACACCCCCTTATAGTTTGCAGCTATCCGGGGAACAATTCAAAAAAACGCAGAAGTCTGTAGCACAAGAAACGTTCCCCATAGCTACAGCTACGGAGTATTCCGGCACCTCGACAATCAAGACCAACGGATGGCCGGCCAGCTGGGATGACTGGCCCATGGCTGGGATGACCGGCCCGCATTTCTTCAGGTCAAGGAAAAGTGGTCTCGTACCTGGGAAAGGTGGCGATCACATGATGCGGATCTTAGTCGATCTTATTGGCTCATAGAACGAACCTTTCTGGGGGGATTGGTTCCGCCTAAGAACAGGAGGACAAAGGATGAACAAGGTTAAAGTGTATTTCTTCATGGATGCAAAGTGAGCCCCTTCGAGACCCTTTGTGCTTTAACATCGCAGGTGGTCCTGATGTTGAACGACACTGCCAATGCGGTCTTGGCATGCGACTAGCTGGAGATCGGGAAGTGGTGGTGCCAGTAACAAGAGTCGATGGCAGAGCAAATCTGATATATATTTTTTTTAACCACCCTACTACAACGTTGTAGGGTCTCAATCCAAACCTCGCTCTTTGTGAAACAACACATAACAATACTGTTTTGGAAATTCGCCTGTTTCCTTCAGAAAACATTGTTATGTCTTTCATTGATCCTGTAAAATTGTAAGGTTTGGGTGCATACGGTATTTAAATGTATGAAAACACCGTGCGCTCCAACTCAAAATGAAAGTGGATAGTGACGGATCATGTATCATCTTCGGGGTTACTTTGTACTTGCTGTTTGTGATGCATTCTTCTGGCAAAAAAATATAATCAATTTTGGCCGTGACATGTCGTCACGCTGTTTGCATTCGGGGAAGGCAACCTCATTCTGTCTAAAAAGTCATCAAGTGGACATCAATAGTTTATAGATGGCCCACATGAAAAAGGATTGGTCAGAGTAGATAGTTCCACAATGTGTGTTCAATTTGGTTGTTTACAGTATAGTGTTTAGTATAAGCCCTGTTCCTTCAGATCCAGCTTTTTATGTTCAATATAATATATACGGGTGCAAAACGTGGTTTGACTTGATGCATTCTATTCCAAAGTATACATACCGACATGGTCCTGTAGAAGCACGTTCTTGCCACTCATGTTCCGCAAGTGGAGTAGATTCCTGGACCCATCTCAGACCATTCACCAACGATTGTTCACGCGGGGGATGGCGAGGAGCAGAACACTGTCGAGACATGTCACGACATGTCGAGGACCAGAACGGAAGGTTGACTTGTCCTGCGCGTGGTGACAGGGTCGCGCAGACTTGGAGTGAGGGAAACCCATCGTGTTTGGGTGGTAACTGTCTCTAGGCATCCACTGCGGACCCTGGACCGGCCGGGCAGGTACGACTGGACCCGAAACGTGTCGATCACCGAACACCCGAAGGATCTGGACGGTCGGCTGATGGGGGGGTTGTTTGGATTAATGGCGCCTTGGTTTTTGGGAACCGAACACATGCATAGCTCAGCATGTTTTAGTTCAATTCAGGACATGCAAACAAAAACATCGAAAACTACAGAATTGGATCATGCTGGATTTCTTGTGCTACAGATGTTTCTTTCTTCACCTCATCCGGTCAAAACCATGGCATGGTTTTGCACATGTTTTGAGCCTCGTAGCCAAGGGTGAAGGTGAGTGAATACGTGCTTCGCTCAGGTGAGCAGGCGATCATCAAAGCCAAGTTGGATCGGTTGAATCCCACAGATCTCCAGCGCCATGGGCTGAAAGGTGGTGGAAAGGTCCGGTGAGAACGGGCGGTTGGGTGGAGGGTGGACGTGGATGTCTACCCAAAATAGGAGGTTTGTGGTTCAACTCAACCCAAACACGGACCTGAATAGGGGGGAGGGAGTTGGATGGTTCCTGGAGCGCCTGGAGTCGAGTCGATAAGAAAACTCGTACCTGGGAACATGGGTACTGACAGTCGTACCTGTTGTTTTAGAGAGCGGGTGTGCTTGGGAGAGCACACACTAGCTCAAAACCTCTAGAAAACACTGTAAATACCGCGCAACATTTCAACAACTGCTCTGGGACCTAGGCGAAACGCATATTGTTCAACCTTCCTGTGCCCAGTCTGGATGTGCAATGTCAATTACAACAATTAGCAGCTCTTCGTTTGCCCACTATCAATGTGTAACACCAATGACAAGTAGGTTAGTCTTTCTCTGCGCGCAAGGAATGCAGTATATATATAATGCATGCATATACATATATATACATCAAGATGAACATGTATGTCAATCAAATTGCTTCAGTCTCTGGCTTATCTTGCTTTTCATGACGTATTTTTACGTGTCCCTGTTGTAAAAAACATCTCCCAGGAGCACCCGTTCTGTTTGTTTTTTATGGGGTCAGACGTCCCATTTTCGAAGGTACGAACTGGACCCTCCCAGTTCTTTCTTCCATCTCTTAATTGATCGCTTTGACAATGCCACGGACTAATCACTGTTCAGCAAACTGCCGCGGATCCCGCTGCAACTGAAACTGTACTTTGTCAGGAACTACCAGGGCATTTCTACTAGCTTATAAGTTGCTCGGCCCAACTCATGGTTTAACTATGTTTAAACTATAGCTCTATACTTAGGCTGCTTGGCCCACTCTAGTGGTATTCACTTGGAGCCATCAACATCCATCGATGGGACAAGATGCAATTGGACATACAGTGCATACTCCAAAGTACCCTAGAATATGGGACATGACCCCCCTATAGAAAAGGTGCATGTACCCATTTTCTGAGGTACTGTTTGAGATGCCAGATCCAGATATAGTCATTTGATGTCAGTTGAAATGTTGGATGGCTAGAGTGTAAGCTATTCCTAAAAGACGTATATAAAAACTGTGACCATTGTCCTCTTGATATTTGAACTGTTCATAACGTTGATTTTTCGTTCGCTATCGAACATGAACAGGTGAAAAGCAAATCCGAGGGTACTTCCGTCGCATTGCCTCCTCTAGTTGAACAAATCAAGGCAGGGAAGTGGCTTGTCACAGGCAGGTGAACACTTTGGTTACAGTCCCTGGAACTACTCTCCCTGGAATTCACATGGAAGTGGAGTTCACCACCTGTTTGTAGTGAATTTCATGGTCTTCCTGACTCGGGGCCATCCACGTAACCATGTTAGTTCCAGGGAGTGTGGTTACGTAGAGTTCATCCCATGATTGGTCTTCGGAACCTGGTCTTCCGAGCCTTTGGGGCTATGCCATCCGCCCATGGCCCAGCTCCGGGTACACTCCGACAGCTGGGCCATGGGAGCGTGGGAGTGAAGACCCTGTCGTTGGTAGGAAAGCAGTCTTCGTTGGATCGTTGGACGATGCCATCGTAACCATCGCTTCGTTCGTGAGAGACACCGGACGCCTTTCTTCTCCTAGGGATCTTTGGCTCCAAACTCACTCACGCGTCGTGTCCCCAGGTCCATCGACACGGCCATCGCGCTGCTGTCCAACGAAGTCCTCATGACGTCCAACGTGCATGGACTGCGGCTGGTCCTCACAGGCCCTGGTTCGATGTTGAACGAGACTCTTCGACACGGAGTCCTGCCGAAGTCCTCGAAACCGGGCACCCGGAATCCCGTAACTTGCACCAGGAAGCAGTGATCAACGGATCGGTTTTGTTGAGTGTTTCAGTTTGCGCATTATGTATTTGCTTTGAGGGATTGGCAAAGACCCACATGGAACGCACCACATCATCACAGGCAATGCCTGGTTGCAATTCATTGGCAATGTTTGGTTGCCTGGTTCAACCCTCGTCATCACTCAATCTCAGATTGTGGCCCCTGAAAGGGGGGGGATGACAAGGAGGTGAGAGGCCCAGCTCTCCAACATGTGGGATTACCGGCATGCCCAGCAAAGACATGCAGAAATTATATGCTGTAATCAGTTGAGAACTAGGTTTGTATATTTATAGGTAGATGCCCAACCGACGGGTTTGTGTCTATATTCCTTGGTCCAGGGGGTCTGTGGGAGGTCTCCCGGATTTGAGTACACACCCAAGTGGCTTCCGAAGAGAACGTTTGTAAGGGTGATTCTGGATGGAACGAGCAACGGACTTCAAGCACAAATATAATGTGTGTGTTTGTCCCACTGAAGTCAAGGCAGTTCTTCTTCGGGTCATCTGAAGACCATTCTTTGATTAGTCTCGGACTCGCAGGGAAGGATGATGTCGATGGTTTACAGTCTGAAATCCACTGGCTGGGTCCTTTTTTCATTTTGATAGACTCCTGGCCTGTAGAGTGTTACAAGTACCTCTTAAACTACGCGCACTCCATTTCCCACCCCCACCACGGGTACATGAAGAACACGGCCAACACCTCCAAAATTCAGAGACCTCGTGGTGAAACGATGAAACTTGAACTTGCAGCAATGGCTTTTGGTCCGACTGTCCCTTCTTCCAGGAAGTCGTTGCCTGGGAGGTCTCCCTATGTTTAAAACACGATGTCGGCTTCATATCTCCCTAAAACTCATTTCCAGTTCCCGGCCTCTTCGCCCACGGCCGCCCGCTCGCAGGTGCCAATCGCCGCAGCATCGTGCCCCCCACGGCGCTCGGCGTGGCCGAGCCAGACATGGCAACGTGGCGAAGAGAGGGGCAAAGCCGTTCCGCTGTCCTGTGCAGAAGCTGCTCACCTTTTTGAGTGATTTGTGTCCGTGGAAAAAGGGGTGAACCGTTTTTGCCCCCATGTTCTATCGGAAACTGATGGGAATCAGCATCTGAAGCATGCCCAACTCGTGCAACATGTCGGTGCCCAAGACCCCTAGGGCTTCTGCCTCCCACCTGAGGATGACCATCGCATGCCTACCACGACATACGAGTGGATCATCATATCCCAAACACTCCATATTGTCTATGGTCCATAATATGGCTACCTTGACTCCTGAAACCACCCCAATGTAATTATATATAGGTAAATAAATATGAAATATATGGCATTCATGGAGTGTCTGGGAATGTTTGGGATATATAAGTTTGATTGGGACATCATCAACTCCCGATGACAGTCAGAGACCTTTTCTGCAGCAAGTCGCAAACGCGCGTTCAACGCGACCAACATCCTGTGACACTTCCAAACTTCTTCAGTCCTAGCCTAGAAAACTGTCTTAACAAAAACAGTTCATGACACCCTCCAAAAATGGCACGTTTCCTTTTGACCCATGCAGAACTGATTCCGAAATCGGAACAGGTGGACCAAAAGCAGGTCGGACTTCGACTGATGTGGACGTCAGTTTTCACCCCATGCCAATAGGCTCCGGTCCAGGCAACTTGTGGTTGTCCAACATCTCATTAATACTCAATGATTGTTTCTACCTAATACGCGACCATCCTACGCGAATCATCGCGAATCTACGCAAACTGTTTCCAATGTGAGTTTCTTTGATGAGCAAAGGGCGTTTGCATCGCTCATGTAAGATATTTTTTCGTGTGTGATATGCCAGCTTTGAAGTGTTGCCAGTGCATGCCAGTGCCAGTTTTAGAGTTTTTTTCCAATTTTCTATGATATGGTGAACTGCATGGGGACTCGCAGCCGCAGAAACAGACACCGACCCCGACAACAAGGCGCACCCACCCCAAACATCTCCCAAGCCGATCCAAAACCGCAAAACCGCTTCGCGGGACGGTTGAGAGACTGTCCATTGGATCTTCGCCAGGCCATGGATCCGACCTCGAGATCAGGTCGACCTCGAGCGAAGTCGGAAGGTCCTGATGCGAGTGACGTGCGGGCCTCCGCCCTGGTGTCTCACGAATTGTAGTTCGTGTTTCCCCCCCTCCGATCACACCCCCCCCCCAGTCCCTCAAGTTCACAGGGATTGGTATGAGGGGCGGCTGGTCCATATATGGTCCAGCATTCGGAGAATGCTTATGTTCAGCAAAAGCGCAGTGGCCAAAAAAACGCAGATGATCGTTGGTTTGGATTGGAAGCTCGAGTTTGAGTATGGGGCAGCGTGATATAGCATGAGCTTCCTCACGAGTGACTGCACCGTTGTCGACACAAGGTTTTCCGGTGTTGGCCACAGCAGAATGTTTCAGCTTCCTCGGTCTCCAAAAGTCCGTGGGAAACTCTTAATTCGAACTTCAAGAGTCCCGAAAGCCCAAGGCTTTGCTGCAGGCTCGCTGTTTCATGCTGTTTCCAGGAAACGAGTATCACGAGTCGACTGGGACTTCGAAGACCTGGGCGCCAGGAGTCGATTGGACCGTTATTGGCGTGGAGCACCCTCGTCCGCACGTCGTGGACTTCTCCACACGACAAACCATCGACCACCAACTTCCGACCCACTTCCGAACTTGTGACCGTTGAAGAGAAAAAAGGGCGCCGGTGATCTCGAGTTCGGATGGGGTATTCACAATGATAAGGTCATGATTCGTAAGGTTTTGTATTTCCAAACCAAGAATACACTGGACCCTCCAGTTCCTACCCTAGAAAATGAAACATATATGACCTAAATCAAGAAACTGCCTGGTACTTTTCTGGGGCACCATGAACTCCGAGGTACAAACAAATCGACTCCAACTAGGTCTATGCATATGTATGCATGCTGGGGATCCCTATTGAATTTGAAGGTCACCAAGGAATCCTGCCAGCTGAAAACCTATATCCAATCGAACGAATTTTGATCAGAAACATTGGTGCTTCCTGCCAAATGCTAACCTTCATCCGGATCTTACTTTGTGAGCTTTGTGGCTGTCAACGATGCATCTCGGAGCCATCTTCTCTGTTCCATGCCATGTGTCTTGTTTGCATGAAACCTGCGTGACATGAGCCTGGTCCTTCAGTTCGTGACCCAGACTGAGATCCCAGCTGGAGGTCACTTATAAACAAGCAAGCATCCAAAGGGTCACTTAGGTACCACCAAAAGGTCCTTTTGAAGAAGCTGGATCACACATTCCATTTTATGGGTGTTTTTGCACCACTCAGCCGTATTTCTATTTTTGCGTGTATGTTTGGTCGGAAGGTTGTATAGACTTGATAGCGTATTGGGGCAACTTTGAACGAGATGTGCGAGATGTTGCAGGTGTGCGAAATTTGGGAGGAATGTGGCGCATGAGGGCCAGCTTTTTGACAGCCATCATAACCATGGCCCTTAAACATGTTTTCTTCCACAAACTGCTTTATAGACATACCCTGCCAGGTCTAGCTGATCTCAGTGTGCCTTTGAAAGAGACATAATGAAAAAGGTATGTTGCAATTGCAGGTTTGGGCCCCACACATATTATATATATATATAATTATATAATTAATTAATCATTAGATATCGGATATTCTACATTATTCTACTATCACACACCTAAAATGACTGCTACTCTTATTCGCATAAGATCTACACGAAACGGGGTACCAGCACCACTGAGTTCGGGCTGTTTGACACCCTAGACAATGTATTTTCCCTCCCAAAACCACCCCCCAAATCCGTGGTGCTGTGATTTTTTGGACTACACTACTTCAAGGGAGCCATGCCATACACCCACTTGCTTGTAATAAGTAAGGGTCTTGTCATAAGAGCTGGGGGTGTAAGGAAAACACTGCAGTGCGCAAGGTTGCGTAAGCTTTTTGTGTCGTGTAAGGTTTTTTGTGTCAGTTGTTTTGCAGTTCATATTTGATGTGAGAACAGATTTGGTTGAGGAGGTCTGCGGTGTTTACTAGAACAGGAACCTCACAAAAATCGAGGAGAGTCACGGCACGTTCCGCGTAAGGCGCGCGTAAGCTCCGCGTAGTAGGCAGCGTGTAAGTCTCATGTGCGTCCGTGAGTAGCAGCCCACATGGCTCCCAAACCCAAAGAATTTTGCCAACACTGGCCCGAAAATATACAAGTCTTCTCATGTATGCCAACACAAAACAGGTCCATAGAGGAGAAGTTCTTGGACTCTTGGCGGTGTCCATGAGGCTTGGTGGTGCACTGTCGTGTCTGGTCTGTGGCACACCGTGTGGCCAAATGATGTTTGTGATGTCGCTGCGCCGTGCGGTTTTGAGCGGCCTCGGTGGAGAGTGCGCTTGCGTGAGTCCGTGCCACTGCGGGAGGGAACGCATGCTTCTCCAAGTAACAACTCTTGAAGCCCTATCGTTGTACAAAGCACGTTGCGTAAGCCTGTTCCTAGCGGATTGGCAAAAAGTCTGCGAAGTCTGGCTGCGTAAGAGTGGCGTAAGCATCCACTTGCCCCCACATGCCGCGTAAGAAAACCTGTGGAGTGCGTAAGCGAAAAACCTATGTGTTGCGCAAGCACCCTCTTACGACATAGGAATCTATCAAGGTTTCCAGCACAGCTCAAGGGACCTCCAGGCAGGACACCAGGTACACATTTCGTTCATTCGGCGGGCCCTGCGTTGCCAGGGACATGACAGACGTCGACTGAGCGCGGAGCCGCTCACGACGTGCGCTCAGCAAGAACCTCTACAGGGGGCTATGAATCCCTAGGGCTTCAATTATAACCATATCCTCAGGTGCCACCCCAACCATCGAACCTCAGGAGGTGGTTGGAGCCCCAGGGAATATACAGACAGCCTTTTGATCGACAGCCTTTTGATTTGCAGGGAGCCTGTAGGATGCTAAAACATTTGTGGCTCCAACCCATAGGATCATAGGGTCCATGTAATTACCTCCTTCTCGGAGGGTCGGTCTTGGAGGTGGGTGCAGTATGCGTACTACCTCCAAAGAAAGGTCACAACCACTGGAGCGGTTGGACACGTCTGGAGATCCGAGAAATGGAGGTTCCTGGACCCTCAAGTCTCTCCATGTCTCTACAAACCACCCAACAGTCTACTCCCGGTGCCTGCAAGTCTGCCAGACAAACCACCCGCGATGCAGAACGGACCCGACCATTGGTGGTACCCTGACCCGCGTTGAAAGGACCGGGGGAGTAATCAAGAAGGACATGGCTGTCGAAAAGGATGTGCAGCAGAGAGATGGAAGGGAAAACATGGCGGGAGTTGGGAGAGGTCTATATATCATCGCTGGTTCCTTTACGTGTAGAGGTGCCTTCTATATATCAGTAGGGTCATGAGTAGTGTTTCAATTGCTGGATTCTTTGGTTTGTCCAGATGACTCAAAAAAACAATTAATGTCGACGTTGGATTAAAACCCCCCCCTTCAAGGTCAACAAGGTCTTCAAGGCTTGAGATTGGAGGTATTGGAAACCACATCCCCCCAATAAAGGTGATGATCGATTAGTTAATTGAATTAAGCAATCAATAATAATGCACAATGCACCATGATGCATGCTTTAATTTTCTTGGGCAGATGGGCTTGATTAATAGGGGATGTGCTTGCCAAGGATGATTCTTATTAGAGTGAGGGAGGTGAATGTGGAAATGTAGGTGTTAAACTTGTTTAAATCTATTATTGGGCGCTCGAGATGGCCTTGATTAACAAGGGGAGGTTCACTAATCCTATTTGATGCGTGTGCCGAGATCTGGTTAGAGAGGGAACTCCTGGCATCATCATGTAGCATGACAGCCCTCCACGAAGCACATCCGTGACTTAAGAGTGGAATTGAAATGATTGAGAATTCGGGTGTATCGTGGTTTCGAAGGCGTCGATGATCCATTTTAGGGCACAGACATACAGCTGTTTGAAGTGACAAGTGATAATCATAGTTCACTTCTTACTGGTTTTGTGCGTCTCTATAATACGTATAACACATATATATATATACATAATTATATATATATATATATCCATTTCCATTGTGCCAGATTGTGTGGCTCCTTGATGAGCTACGCATTTTTTCTTCGGCCTCCGGCCTCCAGCAGGCATCAGCTGGTGTTGTCGATCCAGCCAGCAGATGTCACCCAGTTTGGTCCACCCGAGGAGTTGGAAGAACGACTCCAAGCATTGCTGGCGGCCAACAACGAGAAGCTCATCCAAAGGCCACTCAACGTGCAGCACTTTCCCGGGTGGTCGTCGCTCGGAAACTGGGTACCAGTACAAGTACTGGCCATCTCCGAGTCATGTCCCATGTTCGAATGTATTTTGGAGTCCAGGAGGATACCAAGACGCGACTCCTGGACTACCTCGAATATTGGTTCCTGTTTTTTTTTTTTGATGGGGTCATGCATATGGGATCCGCCAGGGTCAGTGAAGCTGGATGACCTGCCAGGAAGTGCCAAGAACGTTCGGCGGATGTTTGTAGCTGGTGAAGCTGGATGTTCAGCCTCCAGGTCCATGGACTTTCATGCCCTATAGGGATCCAGTCGTACCGAACCTCAGGTCCAGTCGTACCGAACCTATAGGGATCCAGTCCATCTTCTTATAGCGCACACATGCCGCGATTGGATCCGGCGGTTTGGCGCGGCTTTTCGGACGTTTTTTGGTCTCGGTGATGGAAGCAGCGTTGATTCTTTAGTTTTTTAGCCTGGACTGAATAATATATACACTGCATACATTTGGACCATCCAGTTCATACCCTAGAAAAAGGGACATGACATGGACATGACCTTGTTTTTCCCCCATTCAACACAGGTACGACGTTTTCCCAATTTTCCGAGGTAATTGAGCTGAACACGCATAAACACACTGAATATTCCTGCCTTCAAGGGGTTGTAGGGCCATTTCGGCACGGAGTCGTGCTGAGCTGGAGCGTGATGACCCCAAAAGATTCCCAAACTGAAACTGCTAATCTGGGGTGTATTTCTAATAGTTGAATAGTTGATTTTCAAAAAATATCGATTTCCCTTTAGTTTACCTTGTTCCTTCTGCCACCCCCTTCTCAGCAGCTGATGCTTCCATAGGGTGGATCTTCACTTCACATTGGTCCTTGG